GTGTGTGTGTGTGTGTGTGTGTGTGTGTGTGTGTGTGTGTTGCTGGAGGAAGAAGAATGTGGTTGGTTCAGGAAGCTCAGAGGTGAAAGCTAAAAATAAACTGATGGAGTGATGACGGGAAGCGAAGGTGAAGACAGCAGAGGACAGAGGTCCTGGTTGGTTGGATTATCGGTCACATGCTCTCGGGCGCTGGTGGGACTGATGATGACGCTGCTGCTGATTGGTTCATGTTGCTGTGATTGACAGGTGGATTCCAACACACAGGGTTTAAAATCTGTGTTTAATAAAGATGGACGACGGCTCCACAAAGTGTCTCGAGCGCCCTCTGGTGTCTGGCTGCAGTATAGGTGATAAACTCCGCCTGCTCCATGTTAGCAGATGGGACATAGATCAAACTAGAAATGATCAAAGTAGACGTTAGATGAATGTTTCCCAGAGACGAAGCTCTTATCACCGATGTCTGATGACGGAGTGGATGAGGTGGACGATGTGGACGAGGTGGACGAGGTGGACAGGCGGGTCGGTGTTGCTCTGGATCGTTGTGGTGAAGCCGGAGTTGGTCCACGAGGCAAAGCTTTCTGTTTACTGGTCCGTCTGTGTTCCGACCCTCAGCCGTGGTCACCAGAGCCTCCGCTGACTGAGCCTGGACAAGCAGAGGACAATGACCTGGTGGGCTGGGACATCATGATTGACAGCTGTCACAGGCCGTCCACAGAGTTTGAACTATTGACATAATTGTCTTTATTCATGTTTTTGGATGAACGTGACTGATGAGGATAAAATGATTCTTTCAATCTCACCTTTAAAACTCTGATTTATTTCAACTTATTTCAGTTTTCAATCTTTTTAAAAATGTAAATTAACTAAAACTCAGAGTCAGTGAATGGTAAGAATTGGAAATTGGACATTTTAGATGCACGGTGTTGATGATTAATGACAAGAAGTTTAACCAGGGCTGTCACATAAAGGATAAATTCCACAATGGTTTGTGTTTGTCCTCCTCGTCGTCGTCCAGAGGACACGAAGCAGGACGAGTTTGTGAAGGAGGTTCAGGCGCTGAAGAGCCTCCATCACCCGAAGCTGATCCAGCTGTTGGCCATGTGCTCCAGAGGAGAGCCGGTCTACATCGTCACCGAGCTCATGAGCAAAGGAAGCCTCAAGTCCTACCTCGCCTGTGAGTGCTCACACACACACACACACACACACACACACACACACACACACACACACACAGAATGTCATCCCTTCAGTAAATCGGTTTTCTGTCTCTGAACGAGACTCTGCTGTTTCTTTTAGGAGGTTTTACAACAGAAGGTTCATTTCTCTTATCTTAGGTTTGAGAATTAAAGTCTTTTTGAGGAAACCCTTTGAAACCGTATTTAGGTCGAATGACGTTAAATCTCTTCCCCTTCAATCCAAAGCAAACGGAATTATAATCTGAGTCCTGCCAGAGAAATGTTGCTCCAACTAAAGACTCTGATCACGAGGAGTCTTAGTGTGTGTGTGTGTGTGTGTGTGTGTGTGTGTGTGTGTGTGTGTGTGTGTGTGTGTGTGTGTGTGTGTGTGTGTGTGTGTGTGTGTGTGTGTGTGTGTGTGTGTGTGTGTGTGTGGCTGTACTTCACACACAGATGGAAATTAAAATGTTTCCTTCAGTCAATAATCCTATTTTCTCCTCAGTCGTCATTATCCTGTGACAGAAACAATGAAAACATTAGAACTGCTTCTGTTCATTAACATGGAAATCACCTCCTGACGAGAGGAGCAGAACTACAGGAGCAGAACTACAGGAGCTTCTCTATTGTCTCCTGATGTTTCACTTCAGGAGACAAACTGAGACAAATAAAGTGACTGAATGAAATGAAGTGATCACAGGATTTAAACAAACAGGAACAACTATAGAGTGTTCAAATAGAGATGGTAAAGATAGATAGATAGATAGATAGATGGATGGATAGATGGATGGATAGATAGATAGAGAGAGAGAGGGAGACGTCACTTGTCACAGACCAGTTCCAGAGTCTCCCTCAGTGATAAGACGTCCCTCTGACACTCGTCTGGTTTCTTTTTAAAAGTTGCTTTAACCTCTGTTTACCACGTGTCACACCGCCCCCCCGCTCAGCTGTAAACTCTGGTTGACCTGTGTGTGCTCAGCTGCTGAAGGTCAGGTGCTGACGTCCGCTCACCTCATCTACATGGGCAGTCAGATCGCAGAGGGCATGGCCTACCTGGAGGACAGGAACATCGTCCACAGGGACCTGGCGGCCAGGAACGTCCTGGTGGGAGACGATCTGGTCTGCAAGGTGGCCGACTTCGGACTGGCTCGGATTATTAAGGTAAGAGAGACGATTCTGTTCATCTCAGAAAGATTTATGATGATAATAATAAGACGTTCAGTGTAGAGACAGACGGCTCAAAGGTTCTGTGACATTCAAACGTGAGTCACCTCAATACAAGAATATTTACTGTCAATAACTGCGACTCCAGGAAGCTGCTCCGTGTTTTTATATCATCTATGAAGTAAGAATACACTTAGTTCAATGAGGAGGGTTTTTATACGTCATGGTTCCGTTGAGATGTACTTCAGGTCTCCAGGTCTTAAATCTCCACTTCCTCCCTGAGACTTTAAAATATGAGCGTTAGCGAGCGGAGCGCCGGGACCTGAGGTGTCACAGTCATTATTTCCTCCACAGCTTCCAGTTTTCACATCATATGATCTGTTCAGATCAGAAAACACATTCATATAAAAATCATTTCACATTTAAAATCCCACGTTTCCTGAAGGCTGCGATGATCTCTGACTGTGAAAGTGGTTTTGTGTTGATGTTCCTGAGAATTAAAATGTCAACGGGACGTTTTCATCCAGCTCGTTTGATATTTACACACAACAGTGATGAGATGATAATGTCCCCAGGGATCTGATGTCACACAAGAGGAAACACAAATAAAGTAAATCCACTGTTCGGGGGATAAATAAGAAGAAGCGATGGCTGCTGGGAAATCAGGGCAAAGGTTAGAGAGTTAATGTCCCTCCTGTAAAACCCTTGATTGTGTCTCCGTCTCCACAGGACAGTGTTTATACAGCGAGCAGAAGCACGAAGATCCCCGTTCGGTGGACGGCGCCTGAAGCAGCGATTTACCAGCGGTTCTCTGTCAAATCAGACGTTTGGTCGTTTGGCGTTTTGCTGTACGAGATGATGTCACGTGGCAAAATGCCTTATGAAGGTAGAGCATCTTTATATATTATATTTTTACCTCAAGATATATGAACTACAGTTCCACTACAGCAGAATTCATACGACGATATAAACTCAACCAAACTGACTCGTACATGAACATTTAATAAATATTATATTTGTAATATGTTTTATTTCACTCTTTATCTTTTGTTTAGTTATTGTTCTTATATGTTTTTTTAAAGTGTGAAACCCCGTTACAAGTTTTTCAGGAGCCTCAGATGAAGAAACAGAAACATTTCAGTGATTTTCTTTTCATTGAGAAACGTTTACGTGCCTGTAGTTTAGAGATAATCGAGTATCTTGACTTGCAGCGGCGGTTAGCGGCGGTTAGCGGCGTTTAGCGTCTAACACAGTCTAAAAATGGTTTCTGTTTTTTGTCTGCTTCAGGAAAAAGCAACAAGGAGGTGTTGGACCTGCTGTCGTCTGGATTCCGGCTGCCCTGTCCGACCCGCTGCCCCCAGAATATTTACCGTATCATGATGGACTGCTGGGCCGCTGAGCCGTCCAAGAGACCCTCCTTCCACGCCCTGCACAGCCAGCTGGACTCCATCTATGCCCGGATATATTTCAAAACTATAGAGGTATAGAACGAGGGACACAGGGGGACAAAGGGACGATTAGAGGATGGTCCTCGACAGACGGACACGAAGGATCCTTTTTAATGCCATACACGTCTACAACAGGGTAAATGTATTTTAGCATCAGTGCACCGGAAACTGACGTCCACACGTGAGATGTGACGGAGAGGTCGCTCGTCTCACATGACCTCACGAGACAATTCTTCTTTTGTAAGAGTCAGGAGACTGAACTGAGAACAGCCTGAGGAAGGTGTGTGAATTCACTGCTTCACACCGCAGCACATTCACGGCACCAACTGCTTTTACTTTTATACCCGTCTGTGTTTTATAAATGAGGTTTTGTTACCTGTGTTCGTGCCATGTCTGTGTATGCACACATTGAAGCGTTATGAAATCACAGGTCAGGACTTAAACTAATCACCTGTCTTCTGATCGTAAAGCCAGTTTGAGGTTATGTGCAATAATGAAACGCTGGAGGCAGAGACGACAAACTGTCTCGTCACAGACGAAGAATACGAACCTTCAAGCAAAGGATGAATCCAACAGCTCTGGTGACCTCAGATCTTCTGATGAATCATCTTCATCTGTGCTTGAGGTCAAAGAACAGGATTCAGTCTGGTGTCAGGACAGGAGGGACGATGACAGAGTCCAGCCACCGTCCCTCAAATTCAATCAAGCTGCAGCAAATTACACGTTGATAGAAATCGTCCTCCAAACATCGGAGTCTTTTCCTGGAGATCGATGACTGATGCAGAGAAATCTGTGAAAACTGCTTCAAGCTATTTTCTAAAAAGATGATTTGACTTTTTAGAAAATTCTTCAAATCTCTTGTGAAACTTTAAATAATTGTTTTGATGGTTTAACAAAGTCTCAGGTTCACAGAAGATGAAGACCGTGTGTAAGAAGTAGTAGATGAACCTCCACCATGAATTATTCAACATCTGTGATCCTGCTGACAACAAACTGCTTCATATCCTCGCTGCTGGAGGAAACAACTTAGTTACTGCACATTTAACAGCATGGTTTGTTTTCGGGACACTTCCATATATTTTGTGGATGTCTGCTTTGACAACCTCTCGACGATGGTCAGAGGAGAAGCTCGACTCCACGCTCGTCCCTCTGCATCAACCACGGCCGTGTTAGCTTAGCCACCGACAGAGCTAGCCTTAATGTGAGCATAGACTGTAAACACGTGAAGTCAGAGTCCGTGCAGCAGCGATCACGATGCCATGGTGTCGAGGGCTGTCACCACACTCGACCAATCACGAGTCAGTCTCAGCTGTCAATCAAATAACAGTTTCAAACCAAACTGATCAGAAACACTTGAACAAACATCAGTGAGATTTTTTAGTTTGGTCCATGTCCCATCTGTTAACATGGAGGAGGTGGAGTTTATGACCTGTACTGCAGTCAGACACCAGGGGGCGATCCAGAAGTTTAGGCTTCACTTCTGGGAGCCGTCACGTCGTCCATGTTTCCTCACAGTACTTACAGTTATTGTAAAGGTAATTAGATGCTTGTTTATATGAACAGCAGCTCTCACACACACACACACGTTAAACAAACTAATATCCCTCGAGCTTTAATGTTAGCATGCTAACTAGCATACATTCTACCTACTAGCATTGTGCCACACAGAAATGTAGCGTTTGTTGCACGTCAGCGCTGATCGAGTGGAAAAGGTTTCGACTGAGAAGCTCAACGTGATAAACCCAGACAAACATACTGTAGCGCCACCTTCAGGACAAATTCTACACTTCTGTCCCACTAGTAATCGATCAGGGTCAAAGGGCTGTAGCTTCAGATCTAAGTGCATTTAGTCCAAATCCACGTTCACTCACTGATGGTGGAAACAACCGAAGCTTTGTCGATCCTGAATCTCATCATCAATCATGAGTGTGTTGTGGGCGTGACATGCAATTAACCAATCAGAGAGCCTCCTCCCTTTAACGGCCTGGTCCGAGCGGCTTCACTCGGTTGTCTTGTTATTAACCACGAGCATTAAGTATCTCATCAGCCCACCTTCTATGACAGGGACGTGAGGAGGTTTCATCAACATGTTACATGTGTGGGAATTGTTTTGTGATAATGTGATTGTTGCTGACGCGGTGCTTGAAAAGCCACTTGGCCACAGTGCCATATGTACAGGCCTTAAGTTATTAAAGCTCCTCTGCAGGCCCACGAGTTACAACTGGAGTGCTTATGTTTACACACGTCAAACTACGAAACATGGACAATAACTACAAAAATGAACAAAACGCAAAAAGTAAATGGGGCTCAGCTCCAGTGAGCAGGAACTGGGACTTTCTTCTCCACCAACTCTACGACAGGGTTGCGATGCAATGTGATTTCAGAACAATGCAACTTTGGTCTTTTTATGCATGAAATGTACAGAAGACGAAGCCGAGTTCAGGAAACTTGAGCCATAAATCACCAAGTCACAAGATGGACACCAGTGTTTTCGGCTGTTTGCCATCAGGAACCAAACACCAGTAGTGCAAAGAATAAAGTATTTGAAGTTTTGTTTTGAAGCGTGTCTGTGGTTTCTATGGTAACCTCTTCTGTCTCACGTGTCCTCACAACGTTTATTAGGATGATAAGGGAAAAGTTCAAATCTATATGACTTTGTTTTACTCAAACAATCCCTGTCCACACAGAAAACACGTCACGTGACACTGGACACGCGTGTCACTGTAAACAGGAACATGTGGTTGTTAGTTGGACAAAGAGCGAAGCTGCAAACGAGAAGCAGCAACAATAAAAAGTCAACAACTGTCACTGAGCCTGTCACAGACGCTTGTGATTGATTCTGTCACAGACGCTTGTGATTGATTCTGTCACCAGGAAGCAGGTCATGTCTGTCGTTGCCACAGCGCCCCCTGGAGGCCTGCACGATGTAACTGTAACAATACTGGAACATTATGACCTGCTTTATGAGCAGTTAGCAGCTAGCAGCTAACTATAAGAGACAAGTAGCTCTGCATCCTCAGTGTGGACGTCACGAGACACTGAAGTGAAGAGGACGGTGATGAAGAGGACGAGAGAAACAGAAGAAGAGTATCAGAGCATGTTTCACTGCAGAGCTGAAGGATTCAGGACCGACGTGGACCAGCTGCTGTTGTTGGACAGTGAGACAGAACTTTAGCTTGTTTCCTGTGTGAGACTTCGTCCATCTCCAGGTTGTCTTCTGAGGTTGTCTTCTGAGGTTGTCAGCAGATGCAGGTGTGAACAGCTGTTTGTCTCAGCTGTCTCTAACCTCCATGAAACACATTTAGTTTGTTTAATTCCTTTTTATTTCTATTCATTGTTTCATTAACTTGATTAAATTAAATCCTCTCTGACGTGTTTCTGAAAAACAAGTTCTATAAGTTCAGTTTATTAATAATTATAATAACGTGTATGCATTTCATTCAGACTGCAGGTGATGATGATGATGATGATGATGATGATGATGATGCGTCAGAGCGGAGGAGGTTTATCTGTGCCATGGACGGAAGTCGTCGGGTCTTTACGCGCAGGAGCCGCAGGAGAAACTCCGCAACCATTTGTCCGGAAGTCATTCCGAGGATTCCTCCATCCTCTACCTGTCCGACAGGTGGAGACAGGTGGAGACAGTTGGACAGGCAGGTGGAGACAGTTGACGCGCACACAGGGAGGAGAGGCGGCTGTGATCAGGGACCATTCATGGTCATCTATGGGCGAGTGTCTGCGCAGAGTTTGTCCATGTCTGGAGACACTATGGCAGAGGAGCTCCGGGGAGAAGAAGCCCTCAGCTGGAGGAGGAGGAGGAGGAGGAGACGGCAGCGGTGAGGACAGACCACCGCAGGACAAAGCGTCCGAGAGCAGCTCCGTGTACACGGCGGTGTGGCCCTTCGAGGCCCGGCACGAGGACGAGCTGAGTTTCCAGGAGGGGGATCTGTTCTGCGTCACGAGCCGCACCGGGGACTGGTGGACCGCGCGTAAAGTGGACAAGGACGGGCGCGTCCTGGACACCGGGATCGTCCCCAACAACTACCTGGTCAGAGCCGAGTCCCTGAAAGTGCAACCGTGAGTGTTTCAGCTGCAGAGACTCAGACACACGATGGTCACATCACGGATCTACATGTTCGTGTGATTTACATCAGGTCACAGGTTCTTTAACTCACGACCAGCTGCAGACACATGCACCTGCGGAACATCATGCACAGTATAGTTATTGTTAAAAGTACGTTTGTGTTTTCTGAGGCTGAATAACGTCCAGGGAACAGTGGAGCTCACGTCACCGCTCAAACAGGATGAATTTGGGCAGAGGGAGGGAAATGTCTGAACGATGAGTTTGTGGGTTTAACATGTTGGAATGAGGAGGAACCTGCGTCCAGCATCACTACAGCTCCTGGTCCACACATGGTTCAGTTCTACAGGAACTTAACTAGGTCACTGACGATGAGAGGCATTCTGGCACAAACAGGAACCAACATTACAAACGTGTATTTGCTGCCAAACACCTGAAGCCTCAGTGGATTCAGATTCAGAGTCAATGACATTCACATTCACTTCCCCTCAGACTCACACGTGTTGATTCTAAAAGGACTGAGCTGTCGGAACAGTTTCCATCGTGTCAAACGTTCCTTTACTGCAAACAGACAAAAGTACACACACACACACACACGCACACACACACACACACACACACACACACACAGTCTTTGTGGTTCGTGTCCCTTCATCAGTCCTCAGCTCGGTCAGCTCGTCCTCCAATGCTCCTTTCAAATGTTCTTTGGTTCAGAAAGTGGAACTTCCCAGTTCTGTTCAGACGCCGGATGAGAACTTGCTTCACAGAACTCGAGCAGCGTTTGACTTCAACAGTTTCACCATCGTGGGCCACACATTCCACCCAGTCCTCCGGGACACGGCAGGATTGCAGGGCGACCAGTCGGACTTGTATTTCTTCACTCTTCACAATTTCTAATTATTACGTCATCAGAAATCAATCTGTCTTCACACACGTTCAGTTTGTGGATTCGTGTGAAACACGGTGATCTCATCCAACACGTGCATCTTTGTTTTCCTGCAGCAATGAAATCCTTTAATTCAAGCACTGAACATTTCTTTTAGTTTTAAATATCTTCCTGGTATTTTATTGGAAACCAACAGAAAACTGGATAAGTCGAGTTCGTCACAGATCAAAACTAAACTCGTTTCAGCAAAAACACAACATGAATATGAAGAAGAACTCATTTCAAACCTACAGCCTCCGTGTGAAACCAGTTCAGTTCACTATCCAGATTTTTATTTCACACTCGTCTAAAGATCCGTGAATTATTATTATTGTCTCTGAGAAATCAGCGGAATGAAAACGTCTTTTCAAACTTTCACTCGTCTTCAATCTTTGGATCTTTTCAGAGAATCACGTTTGGAGCTTTGATAAAAAAACTTCTTCTCAGTAACTTTTCTTCTTCTGCCTCCGGATCGTTCATGACGTCACAAGTTCACAAAGTTTCTTCAAGCCTCAGAACTTCTGTTGAATATTTTTGTCATCTAATAAAAACACAGATGAATAAAAATAACAATTTGAGAAATCA